CACATCTGTGGTGTCCAACCTTTTATTCTTCACATGTATTTAACATAATTAACAACAGCAATACAAACATTCTAAAGGTTGAAGTGGACTCCAACTTGTTAACTTAAATTATGTTGTTGTCTTTTTCTGAGGTAAATGTCATTACGTGACTATTCACAAGCTGATTTATTGATGGTATAAATCAGGGGTCGGCAAGCAAGTTTGGCATTGGGCCCCAAAATTTTTTGCCACTAGATGGCAGGCCAGAACATAGTCAAAGGATCATTAAAATGCAACTAGAATTGCCTGTGACAGACTGTTACAGTGTCTTTTGTAAGTGGTAGTGAGCTGTTACTCTGTGTTAAATCCTGTAGGAGGACAGTCATTAACAAAAAGACACGTTTGTGTTGTGGTGTCTGGCAGAGTATGTGAGCGGAGTGGAGCGTCAACAATTTCCCCTTCACGTATCGAGCATTTAATAATCACTCTGCTCCGAGTTCACCATTTCCCGCTCCGGTCCTCGCAGAAATACCACTCTGCGGCTAAAGTATTTCAGTATGTTTGAAATATCACAGTTCAAAATAACAGCAGAGTTTCAAAGTGGCTTATTAGAACACTAGTGTTCAAACTTTTGTCCTACCATATGACAAGCTAATAACATGGTTGTCAGCATTAAAAGGTATAATTGCTGCTTTTTGCGGTGCAAATTTTGTTTGTGATGAAAATAACAGTACGTTTTTGTCAGTTTTACATATGGATCGATGCATTTCTTACAGATTTCTGGTCATTCGAAATCGGATACAGATACATTTGTTTGAATGCATTATTGAGAGAGCGATTGCGTGTGAATAAGTACTTGTACTTAGTACTTGTTTAAATCATGCTTTCAGCTGAAAATATTCAGTATCTAGAAGGAACAAGCAAATTCCTTGAGAACTACAACTTCCCACTCATGTCCATTGCTGTCATCATAGCTTCACATTCTTTCTGATTTGAGTGATCCTTCTCTATCAAGCTAGCTAAATATGTTTAACATGTGAATTCTTGCTAAATATGCAAGAATTCACGTTTTCACATTTTCGGGCCGTTGGCATGAATTGTACTCGTGATGGAGCGGTGGTGGAACACACTTGGAGTGAGTGAAAACCACGATGCTCCGACCTTTAAAAAATCCGCTCCTTGCTCCAGTCAAAATCACAGCGCTCCACTCCGTGCTCCGCTCACATACTCTGATTATGAGTAACTGTTGCTGTCATGACAGCTCTATTTCAGAACCAGCCACTATCAAAATAATCTGGCTGCGGGCGCAGGCCAGATATTATTGCTGGCGGTCCAGTTTTGGCCCTCGGGCCGTCTGTTGCCGACCACTGGTAAAAATGATTGGAAATAATATTTCATGTCTTCAAGTCCATTCACATTTGTAGACACAATGTTTTTATTGCTGTTTTAAAAGTTAAATACATGTGAATAATGAAAGTCTAGACGCCATAGATGTTTTTGTGGAGTAGGTAGTGGTAATTGACCCTATTCATGCAATAAACTACTATATTCTCAAAATATTACAACGATTAATCTTCTATTGCTGCGACTTCACTCAAAATACTACAACTTTATTCTCAAAATATTACAACTTTAATCTTGTATTGCTACAACTTATTCTCATAATTTTCACTTTATTCTTAAAATATGACTTTAATCTGTAACACTTCATAATAACTTTCATTAACAAACGTATAATGCTTAATGGATCATTAGTTAAAGGGGTCATGATGTTGCTAAAAAGAACATTATTTTGTGTATTTGGTATAATGAAATGTGTTTATGCGGTTTAAGGTTCAAAAAACATTAATTTCCACATTCTATACATTATTGTTTCTCCTCTATGCCCCGCCTTTCTGAAACGCGTTGATTTTTACAAAGCTCATCGGTCTGAAAAGCGAGGTGTGCTGTGATTGGCCAGCTATCCAGTGCATTGTGATTGGCCAAATACCTCAAGCATGTGACAAAATGTTACGTCCCTTAACATACTGTGATGCCGTGTTCCGGCTGGAGCGACGAGACAAAAACATTAAAACCCATTATAAACGAGGCATTTGTTGCATCCAGTGGGGACATAATTACGGATTATAATGACTTACACTGTCTTTTTACGCATTGCGTTGCATCGCGCCGCTAAAACATAAAACCATGTCTGCATTTGTGATCGGAGAAATGACAAACAACAAGCGCTACTCTACACTGCTCAAAACTCGCGTTTGAATCATCAGTGGCAAATCCTTTAAATATGAAAA